TTACTGTGCCGGTGTGTGTGAGCCTGTTGGGGAATGCAAGCATACTGTGTATGTGTGTGTGTGTGTGTGTGTGCCGGTGTGTGTGTGTGTGTGTGCCGGTGTGTGCTTGTGTTAGTTTGTGTGTAGGTGTGCACGTGGTGAAACGCCAAACTAATATGCCAGGATCTGGACTGGACGATAAAGATGTATCTTATCGTATCTTACCTTATGTAGACTATCAGGCGCGGTTTGTCCATAGAGCACGGTCGTGCAGTGCCGCCCAAAATTTTTTAATGTTCTATTAAGAAAAGCACCCACAAACATGAAATAAAAGAAGTCAGAAAACAACACTAGCCAAATATAATATCAAAACAAGGTCCTCGCTGGAGCTGTAACTGTCATTTCTGTGTCAAAAGCGCCCTAAAACATCTACTATGCCATGCCAAAGTCCACGCGCTTTAACTAAAATGTAATAGAATATTCAACTGGTTATCTGACCTATAAATCACTCTTTGGGATAACCCAAGCGATGACGACATCGTAGCGAGTTTGGCGGTACATTAATATTAACAAGACGGCACATCTCAAATGTGCACCCATGAAACATAGCCCACAATAGGCAGTCTAAAAATAAATGCGATAGCCTGTACACTATTCAAATCCAAAATTATGTGATCCCCGGAGTGCTCAAGTGAATTGTGATTGGTTCATTGTCTTGCCTCTATTTTAAGCGACTCTGTGACCGTGAACCTGAGGGAGGTGAACGTAATATACTTAAGTCACCGCCTATGAGTTGTGTCTTGGAATGTTTTTTTTGTGGAGTGGTGAAAGTTATTACTCGAGTGTTCAGTTCCAATACAGGATGAACGAAATTGATGTTTAGCTAATAAACAGATTTAGTTCTAGAAATCAAAGCGACCAGTAAAAAGAATGAAAATAAAAGCTTAAGGTCCTCTTTCACCAACCCAGAGATCCTACCGTCCTATTTACTATGCCCTTGACTGTCTTCAACCTGCTGTTGCTTAATTGTGCCCACCCACTTGTTAGCCCCACGAGCCTCCCCTGCTATATACCACTGGCTACCTCAGAGTACTAAGGTAGCAGAGGGAGAGAGAGAAAAGTACTAGATATTGTGAAGATGACTTATTCTGGGAGAGTTGACATGGTGTTCGGGGCTGGAGGTGTGAGTTCTCTTGTTTTTGACCAAATGAAGTGAACTGATGCTGAGCAACTGTTTACTTTTTTTTAGATTTTGTGCAAATTGCATGTTAGATTGCTTTTGTATTTTCAAATGGTCACTTAGCACTTGAAGAGGTCTGTATTTACATATCCAAGTATACACACCAAAGAGGGAACAGTCCAGGAATTCTCTGGGTAATGTATCTCATCCTTCCTTCTATTTGTGGGTCATTGGACAGTAGTATTGCTAAGGCATGCTCGTTTTTTTCCCCTCGACTTCTCTTGCTTGACATGCGTGCCTGGCATTGTTTGATGTGCTTTTCTTTCATTTTTTTCAATGAAGAGTGGGAACAGTCCAAACTGACTGCAACTTGTGTGTTTGGTGTGTGGGCACTGGTGGCAGGTCCTACATTTTCTCTCTCTCTTTCCTTTCTGTTTACCCATCCCACTTTTGCCTGGCACTGAATGACCTTCATTGTTTGTTGTTGTTGTGTTGTTGTCTGCTCCAGCCCTCTGTGTGAGCCGCGGTCAGTAGGTACTTGATGATCATGTCCTTCATTCTCCAGCCATAAGTACATCGAGCGGGTCTCCGGTCCAGGCTCAAGTGGACACTTCAGCCAACATTTACTTCGAGTTGGAGAAGGAAGTGGAGAGTGAAGAGGAGGGTGAAAGTGTTCCCAACTATGACACACTCCCAGTGAGTGACAAGTACAAGACAGCTCCGAGAGAGATGGAGGGGCCGAGGGAAGACAGGAGGAACGTCATGGACAAAGCCAAAATGTTTGAGCAGAGACAAGTAAACCCAGGTAAAAGATAACCAGTTTCTTTGTTTCACAAATAGTTTTCATGTGCTTTGAACTCATTCGCTACGTATTATTTTTAGTTTTCATGTGCTTTGAACTCATTCGCTACGTATTATTTTTAGTTTTCATGTGTTTTGAATTCATTCGCTACGTATTATTTTTAGTTTTCATGTGTTTTGAACTCATTCGCTACCTATTATTTTTAGTTTTCATGTGTTTTGAACTCATTCGCTACCTATTATTTTTAGTTTTCATGTGTTTTGAACTCATTCGCTACCTATTATTTTCGGCTTGTGGAAGAATTTTTTTCAGGGGGGCGAAATGAGATGGTGACTAGTGCGCTGTTCACAGGTCTTTGGGGCCACAAACTCAAATATATAAACATATTATATTCCAACATTTTCAGTATGTTTTGTAGAATTCATCTGTAATGTTTATTTGTGTATTTTTCAACTTTGGTTCCTGTAAGAGGCGATAATGCAACACAATTTTACTTGGATGCGGATAAAATTTGGAAATAAAAAAATTAATAATCTTTGGTGAAACTCAAAAAAATGTGTTTGCACCTAGTCAAAAGATACATCAAAATAAACATTAATGAATATAGAACTAGATTATATTGAAACATTTGCTGTTATTTTCATAAATTCCATAAAATTTGTACATTTGGATCATAACATCCGATATTGAAAAAAAAAATCTTTTTTTATAATCTTGGAAAAAGTACAAGACGCATTCACAAAGAGAAAAAAACACTCGTATCTTAATGGAATTATTCAGAATTGCATTTGGAATAAACCTATACATGTCTTGAGTGGTACTTTTTGTGTAATTTCTCCCAAAAAATAGTGTTTTTGGGGAGAGAAAAAATATTTTGACAGTTTGGATCTAGACCTTGATCTAGCACTGGTTGTGCAATTGATCGACCAAAATTTTTGAATAACGGAGCAAGATTCTTGGTCGAGTAAATCGACCAAAATGGTTTCTTGACCGAACAAGACATCAATCAAACGCCAAAATTAATTGTCGCTATCAAACAAACGCAAAACCCATATTTTGTCATTGCCTCGTTTTGAAACCCAGCAAACTTCAAACTTTTAACAAAATGCAATAAGCTTTTACGATTTCATAAAATGTATGTTTATCACCATAGTAGAATCTGTGATAATTATCCAGTATAAAAGCCTGTATCATTTTCAGTTTTTGACGGTTGTGTTTTTGTGTTCGCCATTTAGGCTTTCTGGAGGATGGTGCTCCTGGGTTACTCTCAAACAGGCAATTATGAAACTTACTGGAACAAACATCAATCAAACGCCAAAACTGATTGTCACTATCAAACAAACGCGAAACGTAATATTTCTCTTTTGCCTCATCTTTCAATACGTCAAACTTCTTGCTTTAAAAAGAATGAAATAACAGTTATAATTCTGTAAGATGTATGTTTACTATAATTGTAAAAAGAATGAAATAACAGTTATAATTCTGTAAGATGTATGTTTACTATAATTGTAAAAAGAATGAAATAACAGTTATAATTCTGTAAGATGTATGTTTAATACAATAGTAGAACTGGGAGCTCATTATTCAGTACAAAAGCTGGTATCCTTTTCAATTGTTGACGGTCGCGCTTTTGTGTTCGTTATTTAGGCTTTTGGGATAATGGTTCTCCTGGGTAAGCCTCAAACTGGCAATGATGAAATTTGTTCGAACAAACAGCAATCAAACGCCAAAATTCTTCGTTGCTGACAAACAAACGCCAAACATATTTTAATGTCATAGCTTTAGTCAAAATAGATTAAAGTCGTATATTTTAATTATGAAATAGCTGGCCGAGAGTATATTTACTATCAGAGACACAATTGGGGATCTTGTTGAATGTCAAACCCAGCAGCCACTCTTTATTTTTAGACTGTCGCGATTTTTAATTGCACTGAGGGTAAAAGACATTGAAATGGCCGTGCTCCTGGAAAACCAACAAATTGGCAAATGTGTCGCACCACCAGCGCGAAAGCGAGACAAGCGTGTCAACTTATCAATATTCATAACAGAACATTTTAGATCTAGCCAGGTTTACAATGACATGAGGGTCTTATCGTTGATCAGCGTATGCGCGCAGTTGCGTCGTTCTCCTTCATCATAGCTTTTCGCGCTAGGTCGCTCTCTTCAAAAAGCATATATGGTACCATTTTCTACATGATTTACTGACAGTACAGCAACAACAATATAAAAACAAAACCCATAAAGCCAGGCTGCTCCAACATGCCAGCAACAGAATCGTAGGCTTACTAGATCTACGTCTGGGCCTACATGACCTTGAGACACATCGTCTGTAGGCTAGATCTAGTGTTATTTTAAAATTTTTAAAAAAATTTTGTCTGATCAGCTGATTTCTATCATGCAAACCGGTGACCCACTGGCATCTATTCATTTATACAAACCAAGTCTTTAGTTCAGTTCCTCTTCATTTCTCTCTGCTCTCATTCTGACCTCTTAAGCCTGAATATTTCCTCTGATCTAGACTTGTTCACATTCTCAATCTTAGTCATTTGGATGCTTTCTTCTTTTTACTTAATTTCAACACTTCGACTTTGATCTGCAACTTGTTATTCTGTATTACTGTTTTGATTTTTGTTTCTGTGCCTAGATTTTTCTTTTCTTGAAAAACTCATGGAATAAATACCAGCACAATGAATTAGCCTAAGCTATTCATAAAATATCTGGGCTGGAAACAGAGCAAAGAAACAAAAAGAAAGGAGGTAAGATTGAAGAGTAGGCCGACCGGACCAGCGGATTAGGACAACTTTTGCCTATGTCTCGACAACCTTAGGAATTCATGATTTTCTACAGTTTTTATCAATTTGTAATCTCTCTCACACAGGTAGGCCTAGCTTAGATCTATTCATTAAATGTTGGTCAGGGGGGAGACCCCCCCCCTCCCCCCCAATCCATTCCTCAGCCCCCCACCCCCACCCATGCTCTCGCAATAATTCGAGTGGTCCGGTATTCTTCAATCTTCCCCAAAGGAGCAATACAAATACATGTTAAACAAATTAACTAACTTTGCATGCATCTTCTAGATCTACTTGACTCCTATTTTTATACCGCGCGAAGCGACGAAGACCAAAAACTATTTTTAGATCCAGACATCAGCTGAAAAATGTGTGCTACAGCGCAGCTGTGATGACTTTTGACCCCTGCTCGATCTAGATTTCTTGGTCGAGAAAATTTTGCTCGGTCAATTTCATCGGTTAACCGAACAATTTTGCTTTTAACCGATCATTACTCGACCAAGATTTTTCGCTTACTCGCACACCCCTATCTAGCACTGAAAAACTCAAATTTCTCAGTAACAGATCACTTTTGTGTCCAATAGTGTCTATATTCTAAAGAAGAGTCCAACATTTCTTTAGTGAGCAAAATTAGTATTTTTCAATGCGAGATCAAGGTCTAGATCTAATGGGCACCCCCAATAACAGACAAAATCTTTCACTGTCTATAGCTGGGTACCCATTCCCACCTGGGTGAAGTGAGGAAAATTCGTGTAAAGTGCCTGTCCTAAGGACACAATGTCGGGCCCCTGACGGGATTTGAACCCACGACCTTACGGTTGCGAATCGGAGAGCCTAATCATTAGGCCGTACTTGTGGTTGTTGTACTTGTGATGTACCCGTTTTTGTCACAGATGTGTGGGTGGTTGGTGGGTGCTCTGGTGTGGTTTGCTCCTTTTTTCCTATCAAATATCTACGGTACCACCCTATTATATCCTCCGTATTTTCGGTGATGGTTACTCTCTTTAGTACCTCCTTTCTTTGTCTCTTAGATGACATGACTTAATTGTGTTGTAAGTGCCATAACATTTGTGAAAAAACCCCAAGTGTCACTGAGGTTTGACAATTCTCTGTTTGCCTCAGTGGAGGACAGGAGACAGCCAAAGCTGATCCGGAGCTCGGGGAGGAAGGAGAGCGGCCAGGCGGTCACGTTCTCCGCTACAGCTGTAGCTTCGGCCGACGCGGAGCCCCCCTACGAGGTTCTGTGGCCGGCTCACTCACACAGCCAGGCCGCGCCTCGCACAGATCTAGTCTATGATGTCGCCAGACCTCTGCCCGTTGAGATGAGCGGGTGGAAGAAGACGTCAGCAGATGGTGGGCACACAGACAGTGTGGGAGTGTCGCCAGTGGTCGCTGGGTCACAGACGCACGTCCGAACAGTTGCAGAAAGCAAAAGGCAGACAGGAAACACGTTGCTTACAGACAGCACAACGGAGCCAAAGATCAAAGCGCAGGAGGACAGCCAAGTGCAGGCTGAGAGAAAGAAACAGCTTCACTACTCTTGGGCGTCCGTGCCAGTGATGGAAGATCCTGCCCCGGGCCAGGCTACAGAGGGAGGGAAGTCTGGGGAAATGCTTTCTTCCTTTTCCCAGTCAGCCAACAGAGGCTGCAAGACAGGAGCAGGGGCTGCGGTAAGTGACATAAGTAGTGTGTCGTAAGTGACATATGTAGTGTGTCGTAAGTGACATATGTAGTGTGTCGTAAGTGACATATGTAGTGTGTCGTAAGTGACATATG